GTTTAAAACTAACCAATTTCACATACCTCATCAACAACTCCGGTAGGGAACTTCCAAACACCACTTCCACGGAATTGTCCACTCCTTTCCTGGACAACCAGTACCTAGACAGAAGATCGCAACTTCTTTTAGTATAAACCCGAACACATCTAATTGTAAATGGATACCAAAACCAAAAAGAAAAAGAAGATGCACCAATTCAATCTATTACCTCATTCTTTTCATTCATAACAAATGCACCAACACCAACTCTGTGGGTGGCATTCGCCGGAATAGTGCTTGCAGTTGTTGGAAGCCAATGCACGAGCATCAAGTAATTTGGTTCAGCATGATGGTAATAGAACCCTTCCTGCAAAACAACATAAAATTTTTTTTAAAATTAATAATAAAAGAATTGAAGCACGTGCTCCATGACCTTTGGTCTGGCTCTGATACCAAATTGAAGCATGTGCTCCATCTCAACTAAAAGCTTAAGCTGATAGTTGGATTGCACATTTATGTTTATGTTATATTATATGCTCAACAAAAAGAAGTAGAGAACTTTTCCAGAATACATGAAAAGATAAGTGCAAAGCTACCTTTACTGCAGGTTCAACAAGGTTAACAAGCTCAATAGGCAACTTGATCCAAACACCTCTCTTACCCTGCAGAGTCCAGACATATCAACTCATGTTCAAAACTTCAAATAAAACAAAAATGATTCACTTAAACAACAATTCATATGCTCAAAATAGGAACAAAAGCACAATTCAAAAGTAGACATTGCTTAGAAAAAGCACACAACACACACACAGAGACAAATCACTAGAATGAAAAAGAAAGGGATCATGATTACCTGCTGTCTCCATTGAGAAATTGAGGCCCGAAGCAAAGTAACGAAGAGAGAAGAATCCATGGGTTCATTCGTCATCTCAACAATCACCCCTCCATGATCATCATTTCTCCCCGCCAATATCCTGTCCACTTGTTCCGCCTGTTTCTCTGGCAACGATGCTGCCGGCAACGATGCCGACGAACTCATCGATGAACACCGCGTAGTCAGGTTAGGCCCAATGCTACCCTTCTTCAATCTCCCTGAAGCAAGAAAAACCCAGATAAGATTTACCCAAATTAGAACCGAAAAATCTAAATATTTAAAAAAATAAAATAAAATAAAAATCAACCTTGAGCTCTGAAGGGTAGTTTAGGCGTTCGAAGGGTGAGGAATGAACGATTAGAATGAGAAGAGACAGCTCTGCCGGCGGTACAGAGCAGGGAGGTTTTACACAATAATTTGATTACCATTTTGTATTTATTTATAAATTATAATTAATGAATTTCAATTTTCAAATTAGCAATATTCAACTGCGCCAAGTGATAAATATCAAATTTAAATTTTTTTAGAACAGACCAATTGCCATATGGGAAGCGGCGGCCGGCGGCGATGGTCTGAAAATAACTGAAACAATTTATTTGCATAAGAATACATATAAATACATTTGGTTAGTTCGTTTTGCCGTTAATAAGGGGTGAAAGAGTAGTTGACCGGTCCAGCCGAAAGAATGTGAACGTGCGGACCAGGTTGTGACCGGGTCGCGTCTGTGGACCGGTCGTTTTAGTTGAATAGCAATGAAATTCCAGTCAATTTTAACTGCTAACCGGGTTCTAATTTCTGGATTGATCCAAGATACTTTCAACTTTTAGTTGAAACGCAATGAAATTCCAGTCAATTAACATGTCAATTTAGTTGGCAACTTTTGAGGAAAATCGACTACCATTCGTTAGTTCGTTGATAGTCAGTTTTTCTCCTAGAGGTTGTTGGAACATCGCCGGCTAGAATAATATGAGTTAGCCGGCCACTGAGCAAGCTATACAAATTATATATATATATATATATATATATATATATATATATATATATATATCAGGGTTGTAAAAATCGGTCTAGGCGCCTCTAGATCGTGGCGATTTCCACTCTAGGCGCTCGCCTAAGTTACCGGCCGCCTAGGCATCCGCCTAGCGCCTAACTCGGCCGATTTGACCGCCTAGCGTCTAAGTTAGTCGAGTTAACTCGTCCATTTCGGTCGAGTTAACCCGATCGGCTCGGCTTATTTGCTTATTTTTTTATTATATATATATATGTGTGCGCGCGTATACATATATATAATATGACATATAACACTCGTAAACTAGTTTGATACTTTGAATCTTTGGATGATTGAAGTATTTGAGTATTTTTAATTTTTAATATTATTTTAAAGTTTTTTTTTTAAAAAAAATCATTGTTTTGATGTTATGACTTATGAATTATCATTAATTCATTTATTTGGATGTGTTATTTTATTAAATGTTGAAAACAACTTCATTAAAATTGTCAAACTGCAAGTCTACCACTGTTTTTTAGCCCGCCTAGCGCCTAGCGCCACTTTGAGAACAGATGCACCCGTGCTGTCGCTGCGGTTTACACCATTAAATATGCATAAATGCACCACACAGTGTTTGAAAATACACCATTATGTATGGTGTATTTTTTGGTGTGTGGTGCATTTTGTGACTAATACAATTTTAAATATTGTGGGATGTATTTATGCATACCTAATGATGTAAACCACACCAACTCCACAGAAAGCAGTGTTCTCATTTGAACTAAAATCTATATATAAGAAGCTAATTAACAAGTCTAGGGAATTAACTTACCTTCAATTGTGCAGTCTTGGGTTAGTGATGGCACTGGTGTTGGCCACGACTGTTGAGTAATGGAATGGACAATCCCATTAGCAGCCCACCACCCTGAAGAATTGGTCCAATAAAAAGAACTCCCATCATTGTGGTTAAATCCAGTGTCTTTAATTTTAGGATCAAGATTACGATCCAGAAGATCCTGGAGAAGCAAACTTCTTTTAATGTGAATCTTGTGCACCAAACTCCACTTCCCCATGTCATAGTCCTCCAGCTCCCATATATAATATATGGGAGCTTTTAAGAGAATACCCCATACATATGTTACACGAAGACGATCCTGAGATAGTCCAAGGGTTTGGACGTGAGCCCCAGCTTTCATATCATCAGTTGGTATAGGTAGATCAATTACACGGTAAAAATTTTCAGGACAATTATAGGGATCATACACGAGAATACAGTCAGAAACCAACATATGTAGCATCGCTTTATAAGGGACAAGAACCGTAGAAGAACGGACTAACTCTATGGGCCGCGGTGAAGAAAGTACAAGAGTTTTCCATTCCTGAGACGAGAAGAGTTGAAGTCTGAATTTGACCGGGGAAATGGGTGGAGAAACACAAATTTGAACCACCACGGAATCATAGCGAGAATTGTCTACACATTGCGATTGGTGATGATGGGTGGTGCAAAGGGAACAGGGCGCAGGAACGCAAAGGAAACCAATGGCCATATCCACATAGCGCGGCTCACTGAATTGGAATAGGGGGGCAGGAGGAAGAACAATCCAGTGTTTGGTTAGTGGATTACAGACATAGAATAGGGATATGGGTCGGGAGATGGCGGGGGCGCATAGAATTAAATCAGCACACGAAGCCTTGACTTCAATTCTGTGATAGGGAGCGGGACAGGGAAGGAAACTTAAATCCAGCTTGCGGAAGCCGCACAAATTGGCATCAGGGTGGGGGTATCCACCGCAAACGATGGGCAAAGGGGGGCCATATTTAGATTGGAATATAAAGCAGGCAGACGATGATGATGATGAGGAGGAATGAAGAATTGGCGGAAGGGATGGGTGATGGCGGCGGTGATTGAAGAAAGTAAAAAAATAGTGAGAAGAGATAAGAGAAGACCAGCTCTTGCATACCAATTTCAACCGGAAAGCTGCTCTGCTGGGGAGCCAGCTCAGGATTTCAACTAACAAGCTCTCACCCAAGAACAAGTCAAAGGATGATGGATCTGAGAATTTCGTCAACTTGTCGTCCTGGAGGCGATCCATGCGGCTGCGTTCTGTACTGTTAATCTGATACCAATTCGATCTCCCAAACCCTTCGTATCGCACTTTATAGGTACGTGATGAGAATTTTAGTCACAATAAAGAGAATACCATATAGGATCTTCCGAGTATAGTGATTTTGTCACTGTTTAGTTCTAAATTTTTAAATTTATCACTTATTGTTCTTCGTCTTTCAAATTGTTACCATCCGTAGTCCAAGTTAACTATCTATGGTCCAACTTTTAAAAATTAACCAGTCGCGGTCTTCTTGGAAGGACCATGGGTGGTTAAAATTTTATAGTTGAAGAACCATGTGTGGTTAACTTGTACCATGGAGGGTACAATTTGAAAGTTGAAGGACCATAGATGGTGAATTTGAAAGTGTAGGACTAAACGTGACAAAATCACTATACTCGAAGGACTCTAGATGGTATTAACTCCACAATAAAATTAGGGATATCTATCGTTTCCTTCTTTCTCATGTTTTCGTGTATGAATAATAATGAGTTAATTACCAATTTGGTCCCTCGACTATGAGGATTTCACCAATTTGGTCCTCGGCTATCAAAATTCATCAATTTGATCCCCTATTATGGCATTTTTACCCGATTTGGTCCTAAAGTCAAACCAGCTTGTTTAAGGCAATAAACTTGAGGACATTTTTGTAATTGCACATTGTTTCCTTTCTCGGCTGCGTAAGTTAATTCCACACTTTGCCTTATTTCAGACAAACAAAACCTTCTAATTGTTGAATTCCCAATACGAAACCCTAATTGCACAACTCATTCGAAAATTTGAGAAATGGGTTGAGAAATCATCGGTCTTTCAAGCAACAACTATAACCCTACATCAGTGAGCGAGCAGAGCACCGGCGCGTGCGAATCTGTGGTGACTTCTGGTTTCAGCTAGCTCCTTTCCAACGACCTCTCACCCTCGCTCCTCACTCATCGACGGCGCAGACTGTAGATCGGCGAAGTGTTGACCAGTGGCAACAGCAAGGCACGGCGGTGGACCTCCGTCTCTCTCTCCCTCTCCTATCCCTCTCATCTCAAAAGCAACTCGGACGATGTCCTTTTCTTGCAAAGCAGAGCAGGTCAGTGGTGAGCAACGGTCTCCATCTCTCGCTTCCTGTCGCAACAGCAATCTTGGAGGAGCTCCGGCAGTAGCAGCTCCTACCTTCTATTTTCATTCCCCTCTCTCGGCTAACATAGCAGTAGCAGTTGAGGGCAGCGTTGACTGGTATGCAGCGATGACGAAACGTTCCGGCAACAACCGCGAAGTTATGGATGGTGGTGGTGTCCGGCGGTGTAGTTGAGAGGTGATCGGCTATGGTGTTGAGTTGATATTGAGAATGAAGGGTGGAGTCTTGTGAAGAAATAGCATGTTGGCGTTGATGATGATGATGTTGGCTGGGAATTGGAGATGATAATAATAATTTGGATTGAAGATGATGAGGTAATAATAATTCTTTTTAATAATTCCCAAATTTCCCTCTAGGTTTGACCGGCAAATCACACTTAGGACCAAATTGGGTAAAAATATCATAGTCGGGGATCAAATTGAGAAATTTTGATAGTCGATGACCAAATTGGTGAAATTCTCATTGTCGAGGGACCAAATCGGTAATTAACTCAAGAGTTTTTACCCATTTTGGTCCCTTGACTATGGCTCATTCTCAATTTTGCATTCCGACTAATAATTTAACCCAATGTGGTCCCTTGACTTTTGAAGATTTCCCCAAATCAGTCCTCCGTTACATTTTCCATCTTCTAAGCGTTAAGTAGGAGGGCATTTTAGTCCATTCAACCCCACCGCGCCTTCCCCAACTGCCGTTTCCCTCCTAAAATTCGCACAGTTTGCCCCTTTTATGCAATTAGCAAAAACCTTAAACCCTAGAATCTAAAATTCGCGAAATTGACGAAGGAGAATATCGACGAAGGAGAAGGAGACTACGACGACTCGCCGGAGGTCTGGATGGGGCGCCGGAGGTCTGGGAGTGCTACATTGCCAATATATGGTACGCAAACTTTTATTTATGGGTGCAGTGTTGCGTTTTGAATTATTCCATGTGTTTTGCAAAGTTTACAGTAGTATTCCACCTTTACTATGTACTTTCAGTAGTGTATATGTGGTTACATTGTCTGAGTGTGAATGTGAGGCGTATATATGGTTGATTAAAGATGGGTTGTGGAGGGGACCATCAGACAGAATATATAGAAATATGTGTTTGTCTTTTTTGTTGGGTCAACTGTATAAATGTTTGCATAATAGGGTGCTGGGGGGGACCACTGGAGAGCAGTGTTTGGTCTCTGTTTGTAAAATATAGTGTGTGGGGACCATTGTGTTGATTTTTTGTTGTTGTTTATTGAACTGCAAGTCTTATCTATTGTATATGTGTTTTATAATCCATGTTTATAGTTTCTGTGTGTTATAATTTATTTTTGTAATCATTCAGATGACATTGATGAAAATAGATTTACACTTAAGCTCAAGCATGGTGGTAAAATATTAATGAGTGAGCCAGTAACATATGTGGGAGGTCATGTAGATTATTTTGACTACATGGATGTTGATGAATGGGGGTTTATGGCTTTACAAGACACAGTCATAGAGTTAGGCTACACAGTGAGTGAATGTAAGGTATATACTGTTGTGGGTGAAGGTTTAATTGAGGTCATTTCAGATAGTGAAGCCTGGGATTTAATTGATTTTAGTGATAAGGAAAGGGAAGTAGAAGTGTGGATCAACATTGGAGGGTTAAATTATGAAGCTGAGACTGATGTTGAAGTGGGAGAAGAATATGATTATGAAGCTCAGGTTGAGGTTGATGTTGGAGAAGATCCTGATTATGAAGCTCAGGGTGAGGTTGAAGTAGGAGAATATTCTAATTATGAAGCTCATGGTGAGGTTGAAGTGGAAGAAGATCCTGACTATGAAGATGATGGTGAAGAAGAATTGCGTAGTCTAGGTGAGGATGATATTCATTTTGAAAAAGCAGTAGATCCCAATGTAGAATACCATGGGTTAGGACCAACCACTACTGTGCCAGATGTGAAATCTGAAAATGATAAAATGAATATCCAAGTGAACTTTTCTGATGATGAGACACCTCATGGAAGTGATGAGGAAGTAGAGGATGACATTTGGCCAAAGTTTAGAAGTTGTGACATGGAGAACCCCACTTTCACTATTGGAATGACATTTGCAGAAAAAAAAGATTTTAAGGATGCCATAGTGAGTTATGCATTCAAAGAAGGGAAAGATATAAAGTTTGAAAAGAATGACAAGGTAAGATGTATTGTGAAGTGCAAGAAAATTGGTTGTCCATGGTCAATAACTCTGAGATGGATTAAGGATGTGAACTGCTGGAGGGTTACTTCATTCAATGACACTCATGATGGCTGCTCTTGGGTGTGGGAGAATTCATCTGTAAGGTCAAGCAGACTAGCTAAGAGGTGGAAAAAAGACATAGGCAGTAATTCAACATGGAGAGTCAGTGAGTTCAGGGAGAGAGTGGCTACTGATGACCACTTCCATATCACCTCTAAGGTTGCTTATAAGGCAATGACAATGGCTAGAGCTGATATTAATGGTGAGCTTGAACAGTATTTCAAAAAGTTTTGGAATTATTACTTGGAGATTGAAAGATCAAATCCAAGATCTCGTTCAATTGTGAAGATGAGTGAGACTGTAGAAGCAGGAGGAAAATCTAGATTTCTAAGATGGTATATATGTTGGGAGGCTTGTATGAAGGGTTTCCTACATTGCAGAAAGATTATAGGGGTTGATGGTTGTCATTTGAGATCAAAGTATGGTGGTTATTTGTTGACTGCAACTGCCATGGATCCCAATGATGGGATCTTCCCACTTGCCTATGCAATAGTTGAGGGTGAAAACAAGCAATCATGGACTTGGTTCTTAGCACTACTGAAGTTTGATTTGGGAATTAATGAGGCCCATGAACATGAATACACCTTCATTTCAGACAAGCAGAAGGGGCTGCTGCCTGCTTTTAGCTCAGAACTAGAAAATGTGGTGCATAGGTTCTGTGTTAGACACTTATATGCTAACATGAAGGTTGCTGGTTTTCATGGTAATGCACTGAAGAATGCACTATGGTCAGCAGCAAGAGCCACCACAGTAAACTCTTTTAAAGAGTCAATGAGGAAGATCAAAGACCTTGATATTGATGCTTTTGCTTGGTTGGGAGACAAACATCCATCTGAATGGTCCAGGTCACATTTTACTGGTTCTGCACTATGTGATATGTTAGTAAACAATGTCAGTGAGTGCTTCAATGCAATGATAGTTAAGGCTAGGGAAATGCCATTGATAAGCTGCCTTGAGATGCTTAGGATTATTCTGATGACAAGATTTTTTAAAAATAAAGAAGAGGCATCTGGGTGGACTTCAGTGATTTGTCCTAACATTGTTAAAAAGATTGCAGAAGAAGAGAAATATGCAGGAGGATATATACCCATACAGTGTGGGTTAAATCTATTTGAAGTCAAAAGACTGCATACAGGGGAGCAACACAAAGTAGATTTGGCCAGAAGAACATGCTCATGCAGAAAATGGGAATTGACTGGACTCCCTTGCAGACATGGCATTTGTGCAATCTGGATGAAGAGACACAATGTCCTAGACTATGTACATAACTGCTACAGTGTTGAAACATACTTGAAGGTGTATGAATTAGGCATTAATCCAATGGCTGGACCAAAAGAGTGGCCTCATTCTCATTTAGAACCACCCTTGCCACCTGAATACAAATCAAAACCTGGGAGGCCAAGGAAACTGAGGTTGAGAGGAGCTGATGAAGACAAGGGAAAAAAGAAAATCACAAATGATGGCGTCCATATGTCTAGAAGTCATGTGGTATTACATTGCACATTCTGTAAACAAAGAGGCCATAATAGTAGGAGATGCCCAATGAAACCTGTAAGTAAACTCTTACATTCTAGTTGTACTTATAATTTTTCCCTTGTATTACATTAACCTGTAAGTTGTTACTGTTGTAGAGAAACCCTCAGCCACAAAGAAATCCTCAGGCACAAAGAAACCAGCCACAACGCAACAGAACAAATCAAGAAGCTAGAGTAGAAGTATTACATTACATTCTAGTTTTAGGTATAATTCTTTCCATGTATTACATTTGCTTATATTGTTTTATGTTTGTAGAGAAACCCTCAGCCACAAAGAAACCCTCAGCCACAAAGCAGCACTCAACCACAAAGCAGCAGAACAAATCAAGAAGCAAGAGCATATGAGGTTGATGTACCAGCAGCCATGTTTGATTTACCAACAGCCATGTTTGATGTAAGTGTTAAATTAGTAACATACCTTTCATACAAAATGCTTGTTTTACCTAACATGATTACTTTCATACAGATTCCTATTCAAGATGCAAGCTCAGAGTTAGTTCAACATGATTACCAAGTAGAGATTGAGGTTGAAGCACATGAAGAGATGCCATTACCTACTGTTCAAGAGGAAGTTACTCAACCTCAAGAGGAAGTTACTCAACCACAAGAACAACTTGTTACTCAACCACAAGAGCAAGTTGTTACTCAACCACAAGGGCAAGTTAGTACTGCACCTCCACCTGCCCCTCTACGAAGGCAAAAGACCCTTGGTTTAACAAAGAAAAAACAAAAAGTTGCTCAGCCTACAGGGAGGAAGTACAAAACAAGGTCTTCATCTACTTTGACTACGAAATTCAAGAACACAGCCTCTGAACCAATCGAGATTGATTGAGGCCTTCAAATTCTGTGAAAACTGTTTGTAGTTGTTTTGGATTGTTCTAATTGTACTTGTTTTTGATAATGCAAACTGATTGTGGGTAATACTCCATTTAGCATTGTCTTTTGATGGGTGTAATTGTAGTGGTTTTGGATAATGCAAACTGCTTGTGGGTTTAGCATTGTAAAGCTTCTGTTTTTTGAATACTCTACCATGAATGAAGTTTATCATTTTGCTAATTTCCAGTTCAAGTTTACATATCCAGTTTATAGTTCCAGTTGCTTTTGGTTTACATTTCCAGTTTCATTTAGTTGTTCACATTTTCCAGTTTAATTTGCAGTTTGTTTACATTTTCCAGTTGCATATTGCAGTTCCAGTTTAATTTCCAGTAGCCTAAATCAGTTCGAGTTTCATTTGCATTGTAAAAACTAAACACAATTCCAGCAAACTAAACTCAATTCCAGCAAACTAAACATCCATTCATAAACAAGTGCCACAACAAACAAAGTACACCTCATGCTATAGGGAGTCTACACCTATTACTCCCAGTTTCAACAGCTTTGTGGTACAAGTAAACCATACTAATTGCTACAACAATTACTACAAACGATTTAATCCTAAACCAAAAGCCTCCTTTTTTGCCACAATTACAATTACAATTACAAGTACTTCCACGACCAACAGAGGGCACTGCCATTGCTTTTAACCTCTCAATCTCCTCATCTTTTCTATTCATGCTTCTTAATAAGCCGGGAATAATCTTCTTCGCACGTGAACACATGGGAGGATCAAACCATTCCTTGAATCCACATCCGACACCATCCTATCGACAAATTCCAAAATTCTTACAACAAGTCATAATTGAGAAATTTGTAACAAAAAATTGAACCTGAAATGCTCCTTACACAAACCCAAAACCTCCGCCCGGGATTTTCGCTACTCCAAGAGGTTTGAATGCTCCATTCGCTGCCACAATTGCATATACGGGTAGGGATTGCATCGCCGTAGTGATACCTCTGTCTTGGAGAAGATGATGACGATGAATAAGAAACCTTGGTGTTTTGCCTCCACTGTGTTGACATCGTACGCAAGAGAGGAAGAAGAAATCAATCGTAATCTAGGGTTCTTGGTGTATTTTTGGCTCAGCTGTGAAGAAACGAATATGTAGAGGGAAACGGCAGTTGGGGAAGGCGCAGTGGGGTTGAATGGACTAAAATGACCTCCTACTTAACGCTTAGAAGATGGAAAATGTAACGGAGGACTGATTTGGGGAAATCTTCAAAAGTCAAGGGACCACATTGGGTTAAATTATTAGTCGGAATGCAAAATTGAGAATGAGCCATAGTCAAGGGACCAAAATGGGTAAAAACTCTTAACTCAATAATAATTATACTAAAGTTCTATGGATTGGATATATATATATATATATATATATATATATATATATATATATATATATATCACATTATCATATTATCGTGTATAAGATGTTAAGATTATCGTGTCATAATAATGACTATTAGATTGTAGTCTTTCTCAACACCGCATCCACTGAAGCTCAATTTCATGACCTCTTATATGAAAGAGTCACTACATGCTATCTGAACACAAGGTGCTTGACATATCATTTAATTTATTAAAACAAAACTAGTGTTATAGGTTAACAAAGAGCGAAAACCAAGTTGGGATTACTCAATATGAGAACCTACCATATCAACCCATTGTGATACATTTAGGCGCTGTTTGATAAAAAAAATTGGTTTATAGGTCAATTTTGACTTATTTGACCACTATTAATTGTTTGATTTAGTTAAAATATCAATATAAATGTTTGGTTAAATAGCTTTTTATAACTCCAAAAGGCTAAAATTCAAAAAGCTACTCCAAGCAACTTTTTCAATTAGCTTTTTGAGAAAAAAATTATACAAAACAGCTATCAGCTAACAGCTAATTTACCAAACACTTTTCTACAATCAGCTAATGTTATCAACTATTTAAACCCTCTAATTAACACAATCAGCTATCAGCTATCAGCTATCAGCTAACATCCATTTTACCAAACAGGGCCATAATATTTTAATGTATATTGTCAAATGAAATTGTAGTTAAATTATGAGTTAATACCTCCAATAGTCCTCCGAGTATCAGCGATTTACCAGTTGTGGTCATTCAAGTTTTAAATGACCTTCAATGGTCCTACATGTTTTAAAAAATAACCACATGTGGTCCTAATTCTTAAAAAAAAAAAAAAAAAAACCAAGTTTAGAATGACCACGGGTGGTTATTTTTTAAAACATGGAGGACCATTGGAGGTCATTTAAAACTCGGATGGTCACATCTGGTAAATCACTAATACTCGGAGGACCTGATACGTTTAATTACCCGATGTACGTAGAGAGTATACCGTATGTACAAACTATAGTGTATGTATGAATAATGTAGAGTAGACAAGAAGTAGCTCAAATAACTCTTTTATTCATAAATGTTCTTGTTTTCTAGAGAGAATGAAGAGCATTAGCTAGAGAGAGAGAGAGAGAGAGCTAGTGGAGGAGAATGGGAGGAACCCCCAAAATGGAGGGCCAAAGCCCCTTTTATAGGCCCAAGCGTAGGCGGATTTGACTTTGACCCTTGGACCAGGACCCGAACCGTTTGACCCCGACCCAAACAGGAGTACGGAGCGTACGGGGAGCCTAAACCCGGGGTATATTCCCCATCAAGACCATTGGAGGTATTAACTCTTAAATTAAAATGATACTTTAGTTTTGTTGTAATGAAATGAAACTATTGTGCTTATAAAAATTAAACTAAATATTAGAGCTCATACCTTGAATGTATATTGTTAAATGAAACTGTAGTTGTCTTAAAATGATACTTTAGTGTTGCTATAATAAAACTATTGTGTTTATAAAATAAAACTGAATGATGAGAGATGTTGCTACATTAGCCATAACGAATTTGCCATCTACCATTATTAACGGAAAAAAAAATTAAACAACGTCGTCGTTTTTCTACCTGACTCATATTACTACATGGACCATGGTGCATAGTAAAATTTGTTATTGAGTTGAGTCTGATAGCCTATTTAACCCGCTTTTAAAGTAGGTTCGACTGACATTTTTCAACCCAACCTATATAATCCGCGAGGCACTCACAAAGTTTAACTAAATATATTTTGTAATTTAATTAATTTAGTATTTAAAAATAACACATTCTCTTATAAGATCGTATCACAGGTATCAATCATTGAGACAGGTTAGGTCAGAAGAATTTGGGTCTTATAGTATATGAGCTTATTAACATTATTTTTACAAACTGTTTATTAGTTTTGCTATAAATTAAAATATTATATTTATGCCATAAAGTATATTATATATAAGGCATAATGTATTAATTTAATTTCTTATTGGAAATTGTCTCCAACCATTAAATTGAATCTCCCATGCCCTCCCCCACAAGAATCAGAATTCCAATACAATTCCACAACTCATAGAAAAGGAAGAAAGTGTGTATTGACAAATTTGCCATTTATTATTATTATTATTATTATTATTATTATTATTATTATTATTATTATTATTATTATTATTATTATTATACAAGTGCATTTTAGTCTTTCTATTATACTTCTTCTCACCATTATTATTATTATTATTATTATTATTATTATTATTATTTCTTCTCTACTTTATTCTCACCTTATTTTTTCCCCACGAAATTACAATTTATTTTTCTCATAATTCCCTTCTCCCAACCAATGTTATTATGTTAAAATATTAAGGATAACCATGTTATATATAATTGTATTCCACTTTATATTAATAATAGTATGCGATATAATAACCAAAAAAAAAATGCATATATAACTATATTCATAATACTATCGATACTATTAAAAAAATCTCATATATATATATATATATATATATATATATATATATATATATATATATATATATATATAATTACAATCATATGAGAACCCATCTTTATATATAACTTTAAGTCTTTAATTTACTTAAGGAATAAGGGTCAAATAGACCATTGAACTGCACACAATAATGCAATTAGGCCATTGAACCTGAAAAAACAACAATTAGGCCATTAAACTAACAAATTTCTTTCAATTAGTCTAATTTACAGGTTTTGCAGGTTAGTAACAGGTCACCCAAAAAATTTAAAATATTATTTAAAAATAATAAATTAAAATATATTTTAAAAAAAAACGTTTCTTCGTCTCCGGCCATGGAGATGAAGAAAGTTTCTTCCTTTTTTTAAAAAACTATTTTAATATACTTTAATTTATTATTTTTAAATAATAATTTTTTTAAAAACTATTTTAAATTTTTTTGGTGACCTGTTACTAACCTGTAAATTAGGCTAATTGAAAGAAATTGGTTAGTTTAGTGGCTTGATTGTTGTTTTTTTAGGTTCAGTGGCCTAATTGCATTATTGTGTGCAGTTCGATGGCCTATTTGACCCTTATTCCTTAACTTAATGATATACTACGTATTATATTTGTATTGTATTACTAGACTAAGGGCGCGGCACCCATCCACAATGTATGTATTTATTTGTGGAGTTAATCCGTTACACTTCAATATCCATCCATCTCTAAGGGCATCCACAACCCTTTTCCTCTTATCTCCTCATTTTGTAGTTCAACTTCTCATTATGTAAATTCTAAAAAAATGGTCTACATCATGAATTTAAGTGTTAAAATAAAAGCTAAGTCTAAAGAATTGAATGAAAGTCCATGTAATATTGTTCTTAGAACTACCCCAACAATATGTATTTTTGCTTAGTTTTTGTATGGCCAACAAGGAAAGAGATGAATGAGAAAAATGGAAAAAATAAAAATAAAAAAATTGTGTTGCTAGCTCATGGTTTGCACGCTCGCTAGGCACACTTGGTGCTTAAAACGTGCACCAGAAACAAAGTATCATTTTTTTTTTCTCTTATAGACTCCATGAAAACTCATACTTGCCGTCACTATAAAACTCACTAAATAACTCAATTGTAATGACTCTTATATCACTAACAAGTTGGATGGTTGATATCATGATGCATCATTATGATAATATGAAATATCTTTATAGCAAAATTAAACTAATTGGTCAACAAATATGTACATGATGACAATGTGACATATCTCCAAAAATATCTACCACTGGTGAGTGGTGTCAGCGCTTGCATGTATTCCATTCCATTCCACTGGTACACATCATCATTCTGGGTCTTCCTATTCTAAAGAGCAGATTGGCATTCCATTCCATTCTATTCTTACAACTGAGAGAGAGAGAGAGAGAATGGATTTCCAGAGCATTGTAGTAGCTGCATTGTTGGCATGGACTTTGGTCCAAGCTCTCTGTTCATTAGCAAAAAGTAGTAAGAGTGTAGGCAAAAAATTTCCACCAGGGCCAGTTCCTTTGCCGGTCATTGGAAACCTTCATTTGCTGGGAGGGAAACCGCACAAATCCCTAGCCCAGCTAGCCCAAAAATATGGTCCAGTTATGAAGCTAAAACTGGGCATGAAAAGCACAGTGGTCATTTCTTCATCCGCCATGGCCAAACAAGCTCTGCAGAAGCAAGACTTAGCCTTCTCTACCCACCGCTCAATCCCTGATGCTGTGCGAGGTACCAACCATTTCCAATTCTCTGTTGTTTGGCTCCCTGTTGCCTCTAGTTGGAGAGCCCTTCGTAAGATCATGAATTCCAACATATTTTCTGGCAACAAGCTCGATACTAACCAGCAGCTGAGAGCTAGAAAGATCCAGGAGCTGATTATCTACTGCCAAAATAAAAGCCAGGTAGGGGAAGCGGTGGATCTTGGGCGTGCAGCTTTCAGAACTACCCTCAATTTGCTGTCTAACACCGTTTTCTCTAAGGATTTAACCGACCCTTTTTCGGATTCTGCCAAACAATTCAAAGAATTGGTTTGGAACATCATGGAGGAAGCTGGAAAGCCCAACCTGGTTGATTACTTTCCCTTTCTTGAAAAGTTTGATCCCCAAGGTTCAAGACGCCGCATGACAGCTCATTTTACTAAGGCACTAGAGCTTTTCAAAGATTTGGTTGATCAACGGCTGGAAGAGAGAAAAGTGATGATGGGCTGCAGAAATGTTGATGTATTGGATTCACTTCTCAACATCAGTCAAGAAAGACCAGAGGAGATAGATACGACTCACATTTTGCATGTGTGCTTGGTATGTATATTAGTCTTCTTCACTTCACTTTGATTATCTTATATATAATTGCTTGAATTGGTTAGTTGTATGTATCTTTGCTGTTTTGAATCTTACACGTATTATCATGAATGTTAACAGGATTTGTTTGCTGCTGGGACTGATACATCATCAAGCACATTAGAGTGGGCTATGGCAGAACTTCTTAGGAACCCAAAGACTATGGAGAAAGTTCAAGCTGAGCTTGAAGATGTTATTGGTAGAGGCAAACCAATACATGAAGCTGATGTTAATCGTCTACCTTATTTACAATGCATCCTGAAAGAAACATTTAGGATGCACCCACCTGTTCCGTTCTTGATACCGCGTAAAGTTGAACAAGACGTCAACTTAGGTGGGCATACTATTTCTAAAGACTCACAAATTCTAGTTAACGTATGGGCAGTTGGGCATGACTCTAGTATTTGGGAAAATCCTTTGATTTTCAATCCAGAGAGATTTTGGAATTTAAAAATAGATGTTAGAGGGCAAGATTTTGAACTCATTCCATTTGGGGCGGACAGAAGAATTTGTCCCGGTTTGCCAATGGCAATGAAAATGGTTCCGGTAATGTTAGGATCATTACTAAACTCATTCCAATGGAAGCTTGAGTGTGACATTGCACCAAAGGATTTGGACATGGAGGAAAAGTTCGGCATAACATTGGCTAAAGCTCATCCTCTTAGGGCCATTCCTATTCCTTTTTAACATGGCGGATTGGCCGGTGTCATTTTAGTTCATGTTCTGTAGCAGTAAGTATTCAATAGATATGTACTATGTTGCTCCAAATCTTTGAAGTGTTTTTTTTTAATGGAGATATATCACATTATTGTGTAGTGATATTCAATAAATACTTGTTATTCCAAATCAACTTACAATAATTATAGTAAGGAGTTCTGTTATGGCTCTTATTATATATTATATAAAGGTATTTATTAGACATTCGTTGCTTCAAATCAACCTACAATTATTGTACCAAAGAGTTTTGTTATAGAGAAATATCTTATTAAGGAAAATTGTAAAAAAATATCCCTCTATAATATGTCAATTATCAATGTCACCCATAAATTATGAGTCGTGTAAATGTTGCCCCTCAATTATCAAAACGGTGCACATATAGTCCCTCCCGTAATGGACATGTGGTTCTCCATTAGTGTACGACACCGTTAAGTCAGAGTAAATATGTAATTTAGTTGTTTTTTCCTTCCCTCGATTCGAAGTACCAGTGATGGACAGCGGTGGAGAACCACTGGTCCGTTACGGGAGGGGCTATATGTGCACCATTTTGATAATTGAGGAGCAACATTTACACCACTCACAATTCAGGAGTGACATTGATAATTGACATATTATAGAGGGGCATTTTTTTTTTACAATTTTCCCTATCTTATTATGGTGTAATGGTATTCATCAATAGATATTTATTGCTCTAAATTAACTTAATAATTATACTAAAGTTCTATGTTGATATATCACATTATTTAGGGATTTTCAATAGATATTATTTGTTGCTCCAAGTCAATTTACAATAATAGTACTGAGGAGTTATGTTATGAAAACTATTATTCAACAAAAGTAAAAAAGCAAGTTGGGATTACTCTATGGCTCTATTTGACAGAGCTTATTTAGGAGTTTATAACTTATTTTAAGTTACTGATAAGTTATAAGCTCTCTATTTGGTAATGTTCCTAAAATAAGTCCTAGCTTATAAGAGTTTATTTTAGAATGCTACCTTAAATAGTGTTACAAAATAAGTTCCAAGTTTTCTAACTTTTTTTCCATCTTTATCCTTATTGTTTTAAAAAAATGACATAATTTACACTTCTCAATTAAAACGTTTTTCTCTTCTCTTTTATCTGCAACTTTCACCGCAAATATTATTATTATTATTATTATTATTATTATTATTATTATTATTAGATTTGCAACAATATTGCTACTTCATTATGAGATGCTAGATCATGATTATGCTAATAGTTTTATTTCAAAATTTTAATTTTTAAAAAGACAAAATGTTAAATTTTAATATGTAAACCAACTATTTTAAATTTTATGAAGATGTCCTTTTTAGTCTTTTTACATTTTTCAGCTTATCAAAAAACTAATTTTACCAAACACTTTCAATCATAATAGCTCTTCAATTTTCAGCTCCGAACTTATAGCTTTCAGCTCCTAGCTTATAGCTTTTCAGTTAAGTTTGTCAAACACAACCTATATTGAGAACCCACAAATGAATTATTGCTTGTACTATATGTACATCCGAGAAATGGAGGCAACATTGAACGAATTAATGTACATCTTTTAAAACTCATATGTACTATATGTAAAAGAACTGTGGGGTCATATTTTGAAAATGAAAACTCATATATTTATAGCATCACTAGCAAGTTTGGTACGTGGTCAAATAATGTGATGACATGTTGCTATATTACAACTCAACTTGCCTTGGATCAACAAATATCTATTAAATACATACATGACAACTTCATATATCTTCATAGCAAAACCCCTTTAATTTGTGCAATTATTGTAAGCTAATTTGGAGCAACAAATATATATTTAATTTAATACAATTACGTGGTAATGTTATATCTACTATATCTACTTTTATATATATATATATATATATATATATATATATATATATATATATATATATATATATATATATATACTAATAAGAGCCCAAGAGAGTTAGGCCTATAATGGATAGAAAAAATGGCGATCACAGATTTTAATCAAATGAATGGCTCAGATTGATTAAAAAATTGATCAGATTTAAATTTTACACTAAAATTTCCTAAAATACCCACACACCGTTACTAATTCCGTTAAAATTTTAAGAATTGCCGTTAGTTCACCGTTAACTTACTCATTGATTTCAAAAAAAAAAAGTCTTAGGTTCGAACCTCATCCAAATCAAAGTTGGCATAATTAGTACTCTATTTTACTCTTATTAAATTATATATAAATAATAATTTAGTAGTTACAACAAAAAATAATACATATGCATTTCTTTAATTTAGAATTATGTGTCCACAATGCCTTTATTCAAAAAAAAAATTATTCATTATCAATAAATTAAATAAGAGAAATAATTAATGGTATCCGGGTTGGACTTCCATTTGGAAGATTATGAGTTCAAGCCTCAGTGGAGGCGTTATTGGTTCTTTGTGTTTCAGTAGGTTGAGAAAGTATATGAACAGATACTACAATGTAATAGAGCCAGTAACTTTCAAAAAAAAAATAAAATAAGAGAAATAATTTTATTAGTTATATTGTCTTTATTTTTCTTCAATATAAAAATTCTTTGTATTCAAATTTATTAATTGATTATATTCGCTACATTATCCTTACAATGTCTTTATTCAGTGAAAAAAATTATTAATTATCAATAAATTAATAAAAAAAATATTTTCATTAGTTATATTGTCTTT